TCATTCAAGGTGCTCCTAGAGAACCTGTATGTGGGTTGGTGTCACTTTGAAACTGGGGAGAGGCTGGGGTAGAAATGGGGGTATGGGGATAGATGCTGGGCCTAGAGCAGTGGGCAGCTGCCTGCCTTCATGGCCACCCTTTTTCTTCAGAATAAAATGAACATAAATGGGGAGGGGCTTTTCCACCTGATTGGCCCTCCACTAGGGTGGTTTATGGGTCAATTCCCTTTTAAATCACCAGCTGGCTGAGAAAATCCACTCTTTAAGATACCCTAGGGACAACTCTTAAGTCAGGGTTGACTGAAGGAAACAGGATATGATTCCACAGGAACTTGTGGCTCTGCTTTTAAAAAAAGCATCATTTTAGGGGCACCTGGGTGGCTCAGTCAGTTAAGTATCTGACTCTTGGTTTCGGCTCAGGTCATGATCTCAAGGTCGTGGGATCAAACCTGACGTCAGGCTCCGTGCTCAGGGCAGAGTCTCCTTGTCCCTCTCCTGCCCCCTCTACCCCTCCCCCAACACACTCACGCTCTTTCTCTCTCTCGCTCTAAAATAGATAAATAAAATCTTAAAAAAAATTAAAAAGCATCATTTTATAATTCGGTGAGGCTCCTAAGGAATCTCTAAAAAAAACATAGCAGGAATTGGTTGGTTGGTCTGTGGTCAATTTTCTTGGTTCATTATTTAAAATAAAAGGAACAGAAGACCCAATATTTGAAAAAAGCAAGCATTTATTTAAATATGTGGTCTTCCTTCTAGAGCTTCGAGGAAGTTTAATTTAAATTTTTTTCCCAAAGTAATCTGGCTACAATTTAGCTTTCATCTCAAAATCAGAAGCAATAACACCTGTGTTGGTACTTGATATTACAAGCAGAGGGATGTTTCATCACCAATTCACACATCTCCCTCATTTTATGCAGAAGAAAATGGACACCCAGGGAGCGACTTGGCCAACATCTCCCAGCTAGTGAGAAATACGGGGTCTCTATTACACATGAGCAGGTAGAAACTGCCCAGCAATTACTGCAGGTCAGTGTGCCTGGGTGCTGTACATACATTACTTATATTAATCCCCACAAAGTAGATATTAAAGAGCCAACCACAGATACTATTTATCAAGTCTTTGTACTAAGTACTTTAATTCCTTTTATCAAATCACCACAACAACCCTCTAATATAGATACAACCAGTCCTCTTTTACAGAGAGAGACATCAGGTGCAAAGAAGTCTTGCCCAAGGCCACTTTTAAATAAGTAAGCCAGGGATTCCCACCAAGTTGTACCTCTCACATGAAGCATCTGTGTTCTTTTTACTCTCTAAGAGGTTTTCAAAGTGCAGGTCACAGTGGTGACAGTGACCTCAATTTGGTGGGTTCACAAACATTGAAAAATAAAGAAAAAGAACAGAATGCAACAAGGATAGACTAATTTAAAAATAGAGTATATCATGTCAGCTCTACATATGTCTGGTGTGTGTGTGTGTGTGTGTGTGTGTGTGTGTGTGTTTACAACACAACCAAGCAATTAACTAAATTCTGGCACCATCTACCTAGAGATAGCATCATGTCCCACAGGTTAAGAGCTCAGTCCTATAAGATTGCTCTCCGACCCCCTTCAGACGACATTTGAAAAGTCCAGGTTGTCACTGGTGCTTTTGACCAACCTGTTATACATCAGTTTCCCATGCTACCCTCCTTGGGTTTGATTAATTTGCTAGAGTGGCTCACAGAACTCAGAGAAACAATTTACTTACTAAATTACCAGTTTATCTTAAAAGGATGTAATTCAGGAACAGCCAGATGGAAGAGATGCAAAGGCAAGGTATAGGGACATGGAGCTTCCATGCTGTCTGAGCAAGCCACCCACCCCCCATCTCCATGTTTTCACCAACCCAGATGCTCCTTTTTGGGTGTTTTTGGAGGCTTCATTACATAGGCATGACAGGTTAAACCATTGGCCATTAGTAATTGAACTCAATCTCCAGCCCCCCTCCCCTCCCTGGAAGTGGTGGTGGTCAAGAGAACTGAAAGTTCCAGCCCTCTAATCACGTGCTTGGTTCCCCTGGCAATCAGCCCCCATTCTTGGGTGCTTTCCAAAAGTTACTTTATAACATAAACTCTGGTGGGGTTGAAAGGAGTTTGTTATGAATAACAAAAGAAAACTTCATGGCTCTTATCACTTAGGAAATAACAAGTTTTAGGAGATCTGTACCAGAAATAGGACAAGATCAATATATATTTATTATAAATCACAATGTGTGTGTATGTATGTTTTGATGTTTTTCTTGTGGGGCATGGTCAGACTTTGAAAGCTACTGCACTAGCACCCAACTAATCTGTCTAAACCTTAGCAAAACATTCGTATACAGTATAGTTAACTACCTCCCTGCAGATTAGTAAAGCAGTAACCAGATCTGCTGTGGATCCTTCCCATCACATTCTCAATGGCAGCAGTGTTGTATTCCATCAGACTTGATGGACAGAGGATTCTTTCTCTACCCTGACACCAACTGTCTGACATGTGGTCCTAGGAATGTGGGTTGACACAACCAAGTCCATGCCCAGGCATTTCAGCAAGCCCATGTCTCATGCGTGACAAAGTCTATAAATCAGGGCATCATCATTCAGTGTAAAAGACGACAGTCCATACCTATACACCTTGAGTCATTGTTATTTTTCTGCCCTTAGGTTGTCGTGAAATAAAAGACTCTACAATACACCACACTTACTATAGACCAACAGAATAGTTGGAAAGAGCACAATTCATTTTATAAGCAGTAGCAAGTTTTACAGTGAGAGGAAGTTTGGTTAGAAATAGTGGTTACTCCGGGCTCCTGGGTGGCTCAGTCGTTAAGCGTCTGCCTTTGGCTCAGGTCATGATCCCAGGGTTCTGGGATCGAGCCCTGCATTGGGCTCCCTGCTCAGCGGGAAGCCTGCTTCTCCCTCTCCCACTCCCCCTGCTTGTGTTCCCTCTCTCGCTGTGTCTCTCTCTGTCAAATAAATAGAGAAAGAGTCTTAAAAAAAAAAAAAAAAAGAAAGAAAGAAATAGTGGTTACTCCTTACGAAGGTCCCGTATTACGTGTTAGGGATCCAAAGACAAAAAAGGCTAGAGCTCAAAGTCCAGCAGGTGTTTCAGGCATAGTAAAGTCACGGGAGGAACTAGAAAGGGATGTGATGTACATTAACTGCCGTAGTAATTAGTTCAACATTACAGAGAAAATGTGAAGAAAGAGCCTTGGTAGTGTGGTGAAAATAACTAGATTGGTTTGAATCCAGGGACTGGTATTTACTTCTGTATATTGACTGAAATGAGAAATATCTACTAGTATCTGGTCAACTATATGTAATAGTGGGCACTAACAATTTAGATTCCTAGTGAAATGATATCCTATTTTGAAAGAAACAAATATGAACTTGGAATTTAAGATTGCCCATGTATTTTAGAGCTGAATGCAAAATTGGTATCCCAAATAGTCCTTTATTTGTTAGCCTGCTTTCTGGATATTCTAGATTTGGGGTGACATCAATGAGAAAGATCAAAGATCCACGATTTTCTTTCACTCGAACATTTTTGAATTGCTGTTTCTGTGGTTGGCATTGTGAATAATAAAAACCACCTTACCTTGAGTGCTTTCTGTTAATCTAGTGAGAGGCCTCTCTTCTTGCACTGTCAACAACCAGCTGAGAGCCTATCACTCTCAGCTGTTTTACAAGACTTCTGACTTCTCATCTGTTGTCTGGGGAAAGCTCATGCTTCACCTACTAGCTCTAATTTACAGAGAATCTTTATGTCTACTCATTACATTTCCTTAAACAATACTTTTGCAAGAGGGCCCTTTCAAAATCTATACTCCCTTTTGTGACAGTATAAACTCATTTAAACAGAACCTGGCAGGCAGGAAGAATTCAAATGCTGGCTAATTATCTGCTTGTTCATTATTAGTCAATACCTTTAAGATTCTCTGGTTGCTATCAGTGTTATATAAATTCACTTCCTTGTTAAAACTGTATTTTCTTTTATTTTTTAAAAGATTTTATTTATTTATTTGAGACCGAGAAAGAGAGAGAGAGCAAGCACAAGTGGGTGGAGGGGCAGATGGAGAGGAAGAAGCAGACTCCCAGCTGAGCAGGGAGCCGGATGCAGGGCTCGATTCCAGGACCCTCAGATCATGACCTGAGCTGAAAGCAGACGCTTAACCGACTGAGCCACCCAGACGCCCTGAAACTGTATTTTCTGGGAAGTAAAATGAGTAGTTTTGCCCCTTTTTTGGAATTAAATGCCTAATATTCTGAAAAAGAGCCCCAGCCCTGTGTGGTAGATAGTGCCATGGGGTCCACGTGCTAGGGGAGGAAATTGAAGCAGAGCGGTTCAGTGAACTTGCCCAAGGTCTCAGAGCTGGCAGGTAGTGAGCAGGGCTTCCGACCACCAGCTGGCTTCAAGCCTGTACCAGTGGCCAATCCGTACAGCCTAAGGAACCAGCTGCTCCAGGACTTAGTGCGCTAGAATGGACCTGTGATCACCAGCCTGTGAAAGTGGACTCTGGGTTTATCTCATCTCTGTCTTTAGCTCACTTTCTGGCCTTGGTAGGTCGCAACTTCTCCAGAACTTCATTTCTTACCCCCAGAGGGGAAAAAAGGAGATATTGAGTCAAATGATCTCTTCACTGTTTCCCCTTAGCTCAAACTCCAAATCTTTACTGTGAGTCAACCAGGGAGGAGGGGGAGTACAATATTAATAGCCGTTCATTATTAAGGAAAAACGATACCTGCTTTTGAGAAAGAGTTTTTGATGTTTCTAAAGAAAGCCCGAAGGGCAGACTGTAACAGATTTGCAGAGGGGTTGGGAAAAACCCAAGAAAGAAAGAGAAAGATGAGGGGCTAGGCATGGTGCTCAATGAGAGCACTGAAAACAAAAACAAACAAAACAAATAAATTGGGGGAAAGAAAAATTTACAGCCCCCAAATAATATAGGCTGTCTTACCAAAATTTCTTTCACTTCAGAATGAAGAAATACTGGAAGGCAGTCACGATGGGGAGAACCCTGAGCCAGAGCAGCCCGACAGTCCTGAAAATCTTTCCCCCACCAGGTAAGATTGCAGATCCCTGGCCGGAGTCATTTTAACCCCTTGGGGTGGTGGGGAGAGGGGAGGGTATCCTCTGTTTTAAACCTCATCACTCATTTTTCCCAGATAAAATCACATATTTACTGTGTATACTAACCTTCATTTATGTACCTGAGAACAAACTCACGGATCTCATAAAAGCAACAAGCAAGAACTGCACATGACTTATAAACCAAGTTCCAAGGATACTCAGTATTTTAAAAAATGAATTATCAAGAAAAAATAAAATAGTAAATGTAAAGTAATGTTGATAGATTGAATTATTGGTTTGAAAGCATTTAAAGGGAAGAGGTTCCCCAAAGACACAATTTATACAAATTTAATGCTATTTTCAGACCACAGGAAGGTATTTGCATGAATGTAACTACTCTGCCGTTCAGAAAGCCTAAATTAGGAAGGTAAACACCAAGAGCAGAGGGGAAATTCATTGGAAAAAAAAAAAACAACTTCTTTATACTCAGAATCTCCATCATTAGCTCTATTCAGCAATCATCACATTATTTGTATCCACACCATTTAACTTACTGACTTATGAGCCACTCTTGTGCCCAGGGACTATGATAATACTTAGCTCTTAGCAGGCCTCCAAAATATGCCTGTAGAATAAATGAACCAATGTCTGAGGAACTTGCTGCTTGATTAAAACCCATATTAATTTACTAGACGACTTTATACTCTTTCACTTTAAGGTGTACTCAAAGAAACATGTGGGCTCTTACTGACTGAAATATTATCTCTCAGTTAGAGTAAATGGCCCATGTCAGCATATCTGAAAAAGTGTCTTTAGTTGGGTTGTCTCAGAAAAGCACCACTTGGCTCTGTTGTTGTCCTTAAGTGACAGCATATCTTTTTTTTTTTTTAAAGAGAGAGAGTATGAGCAGGGAAGGGGGACGAGGGGCAGTGGGAGAGGGAGAATCCTAAGCAGGCTCCACCTGCAGCACAGAGCCCGACTTGGGGCTCGGAACTCATGACCCTGAGGAGATCATGACCTGAGCCGAAATCAAGAGTCAGATGCTTAACCAACTGAGACATCCACGTGCCCCAGAGGGGGTAAAATGATTTTAAGCACTTTGTGATAGCATTGTGCACAGTCCTTACCTTTAGAACTTCTATTTTAGCTAGGAAAAAACTCATGAAACAATTAGTTGGTAGCACAATAATATATGTGATTAAGTATGTATTTTGGGAGGAGGGCAGGAAAGAGATGCTTAATGTAAGAGCACAGTTAGAGTTGGATTTTCAAGGCTTCAATAGGTCCAGGAGAAATGATGTTCCATTGGTTAACTTACACAAGGTGTGGTCATGAATGAGATGTGTGACTGATGGTAGTGGTGGTGGGAAAAATAATGCTTTGGGAACTCAAGAAGGAAAGGAAGATTCTCCAAAAACTAATGATGTAATGTATGGTGGTTAACATAACAATAAAAAAATTATTTAAAAAAAAAAAAAGAAAGGAAGATTCTATAAGGCCTTGGGAACCAGGTTGAAGAGATTAGATTTGATGCTCAAGACAGTAAGGAGCCTTTGAGGTCTGGAGCAAAAGAATATCTACAACCAAAAAAATCACATGCTTCCAAGTTTTAAAAACATAAATAGATCAAATCACACCATGTCTTGGGCTAAGAACTGAGCAGGAATCGGGTGAAAAGCAGAGAACATACTATGTACAAATATACTGAAGCAGCACTCAGACAGAACCAGTCCTAAGAACATTCCTGACTTTCAAAGACTAGAGCTAAATGTGAATCTACTTTCCGACACCTAATGATATCAAATAAAAGGAAAATATGACCCTTTCCAATGGTGTCTGGTGGCCCCATGGCTACAGGTGTTCATCTCTTTCCTGAACAATCCATTAGAAAAGAGAATTCCCCCAACTTAGACATTCCAGCGTACATCCTTTAACAACCAAAAGAAGCATTTTAGGTGGCTTGAGGGCAGAGGACACAATAATCCTCTCTCCTGGGTACAGCAGCAAGTCTGATTAAGGATTAAGATTGTGTACTTCAGACCTCCCTGACATTAAACAGAACAAGTTGATTATATAAACAAATGGTGTTCATACACAGGAGTTTAAAAAGCTTGTGAAAATACACATCTGCTGACAATTTTCAAGTTGTTTATTGGAAATCACAGATTTATTTTTAAAAACTCACTAATTATTTTGCCATATAAGAGCAAAATTCAAATAATATAAATATTTAACATACTGGTATAAAATTAATAATGTGGAAAAAAAGATGCAAACCAACCAAGAGGTAAAAAGTTTTTAGCAATAACACTGTGTACAACAATCGTCTACTCAAGTGACCATACAGGCTGATAGTTTATTTTCCCTTTGTTGACGATTTTTGAGACAGCCCTGCATTAGAGCACCAAAAAGTTTTTTCCTTCTTTTTTTAAAAGGCTGGAATCCTTTTATTTACAAATATTCTTCTCAGTACTTTAAATCTAATGAAGGAAGCATCTAGCAATTTCCTTCTTATTAAAAAAGGAAGTGCCTTCATATTTCCTTTAAATTTAAATCTGTTCCATTCTATTTGAAGCAAAAATAAAAAGATGAACACAGTTGAGGAGAGCTCTTTTGCAAATAAATAATTGTTTCACAAAAGTATTGCTGTAAACAAGATCATTTCAATGGCCAGAGAGACACTTACATTTTCAACCAATGGAAAATTTTAACAGTTACAAGTATAGATAGGCAGGGTATGTATGGTCAAAGGGCAAATGGTTATGAAAGAATCAACTAGTAAAAATTAATTATAAACCAGCTTTGTCAAAATGTAATTTTGTTATCTACAGGTTTTAAAATTGGTCAGAAAATTTAAACTGTCATGACCTATAAATGCTGCACCTACTCTGAAAGTAACTACAAACCCAGAATGGTTGACACTGTAGTTTTGACATTAGTTAAAAATTCTAAATTATCTGAGCAATCAATGTAAACAAGCCTCAATTTTCAAAATAGAAAAGAAATTAACAAAAAATTTCTGTAAACATTAAAAAGCTATCTGCAAAAAATTACAATATATCATCCTCCAGTTGTGCTTACCAAGAATTCTTTTAGTTTTGTTTCCTTCTGCATGTTTCAGACCTCATCTAATGACATGAGACATCTTAGTTTTCCCTAACAGGCACCTCTACAGAGAGAGAGGTTTTATAATCAGTTCAACTGCTTTTGCTCAAGTCACCATTTTGGACATCATATAATCCCTGCAACAATAGACATCACCTAGTTCTTTCTGTAGTGAGGGGAGGTTGTTGCATCATGACCACATTTCTGTCCTTCCCTATAAGATAAATGCAACTTACTCTTTTAGAGCTCAGCCACATCTCTTTGAATAGGCAGCGTCACAAATATTTTAAACCTCATTCTGGTGACATTTCTATCACTTCATTCTGCTTTCAAATGTGAAGTATTTCAAAGTTGATGACACCTCCGATAGTCATTTTGATGAAAGAACTGATTTTTTTAAAGATAGGCTAGCTTTGATTTGATGTCAAATGCTCTCAATTTTAAAATCTGACAAAGTACTATGGTTTATGAGACCTTGTTGGGGAGGGGTAGGCTAATTTTAGTCATTGTTACAATAATTTACACACTAAGAATTTTATTTTATAAATTACAGAAAAGGAGAAAAGAGGCTTTTAATGTTCTTTCTTTCTTTTTGAAGTCCTCTCCATTATTCTATTCCTCTGTGCAAACTACATTCAAATAACTACCTTAAAAACAGACCAATATTGCATATTTAAAAATCAGCTGAAAAATTCATTAAAATTGGCTGATTTGAACTAACAATGATTTCTCCCTAGGGAAAGACCCTGTGAGTAACAAACTGCCCATGATTTGTGTCATATCTAATAATCAAAAAATTCACATGAAGTACCAGTTAGGGCAGAGCGAATCACAGCTCAAATTTCACATTACACTTTGTAAAAAGATATAAATATGTTTTAAATGACTCTAACACTATTTAGGTAAATTAGCTACATGGATGTGACAATAAGTGATTTGGCTGTTTATAAAGAAATTGTGTTACATTTTTCTAAGTCTCCTCTGAAGAATAGGAACCTTCTTTTATCAGGTTCAAGTACTTTCTCCTATGCCAATCCTCCCCTGCCCCCACCTACCCCAGTCAAGTGCTCTCTAATAAAAACTAATTTGTAAACCTGGTCCGACAATATATTCATTTCTTTGAAATGTTGTACTATACATTCACTTGGTATTTTCCAAAAGCAGTTACTCTAACACCAAGGCACCTAATTAACTTCTCTATGCCTCAGATATACACGTGGCATCGAGTGAGAACTTGAATTTCCCTTTAGTTTTGTCTTCGTAAACCTTTTCTAAATATAAATTCCTTGAAATGAATTTAGGCAATGAAGTAGATAAGTTACAATGAATAGCTTCTAGAATCAAAGAAACATTCTGATAGACTGGGTTTTCAAAATATTTCTTTGTTTTTTCATACTCATTTTACTTAAGGTATCGACAAATATCTAGAGTTTTCACATCCATGTTTGGCTCAGTGACAGTGAAAACATACAACATTCAAGTACTGTTAGACAAAGGCAGCCCTACAAGGATACGTGTCAATATAGGTCAATTTGCAAAGGAGAACTATCTTAATTATCCTGCAGTATATTTGACCAAAAAACCCTTTTGAAATCGTTTTGACTTTAGGGTCTGTGGCGTCCCTCCAGAGGTCCTGAAGGTCTTGTACGTGACCATGAGATGTCATCATTTTATTGTAGATGCAGGGATGATAAGGAGTTTTACCTTCCCCGGAGAAAAACACATGGTGTTGTGGCACTATCCCCATTTTATTGGCACAGAGGCCCATGAACACATCATCTATGTAAAGACTAGAGTTAAGTATCTGTGACGCCTCGTGGACTTTGGCGGCTACATCACTGGAGATCACGTAGGCAGCCCCAGCAGTATAGTCAGGGTAAGCCGGCCA